GCCTGCAGACTTGTAAATGCATTTAGAGGACAGAAGGGAGAAGAAAATACTGCCCAGCCTTTTACCCTTAAAAAAAAAAAAAGAGTAAAAGCCACCGAGCCAGGGCTTGGCAATTAGTGTTGGAGTAGGCGATCATCTTGTGATGGCTCAGCTGGGCCTGCAGACTTGTAAATGCATTTAGAGGACAGAAATAGAAGATGTGTGAGGGCATAGGAATCCGGCCCATTTGCCAGGAGAAAATGTCCCGGGGCTGCCGGGAAAGTCACTGGGTCGGGATCTGGGGTGTGTCGACTGAAATGGGAAAAGCTCATCAATAAAACCCTCCCGTGGACGCCAGAGCAGAAGACTGGTCCTCTCGCCTCTTCTCTTTGCAGAGGCAGGCTCCCCAGGAAGCCCACCCATGCCCCTCAGAGCCCCTGCTGCCCAACGCTGCCCTTCTTGTACCAAGCCGAGCACCCCAAACGGCCCCCAATCTGCAGCCAGGTCCCAGGTGGGGAGCAGTTTCCCCCTAGTGACTGGACACGCCCTTCTCTCTCCTGACTCCCTCACAGCCCACGGCAAGTGTCCACGCTAGTAGGCGTGCCTGAGAACACAGAGCCCAAGAGCAGGTGTCCCCTGCAAAGCAAACCCCAAGGTCACAGGCAGGCTCTCTGCACTCACTGATCCCTCACCAGAGAGGCACTGGCCTCCCTCAGCCCCAAGGCCATGGGACTCTTGCAAAGTGCCACCAGCCTCTGCTACTGCCACCTCCCAACAGACCAGGTCATTTCTACAGAGATGGTGGGGCACAGCCCGGTCCCATTACTCATGAAGGTAAGCCAAAGGCCCATTCGGTTGCCACCCACTTCAGAGATGCTCTAGCCTGAGATGCAACCTCGCTCCCTTTCTGTAGCCTGTAGAAACCTGGTGGGCCCCGAGGCATCTGTGTCTCCGTGTCCCCTAGTGCTGCAAGGGACACAAAGCCCTGGCTGGTCTGGGGCAGAGCCCACAGGCCTTGTCCTCATGGGAGCAGTTTTTCCCCCAAAGAGGACCCAGATCACAGACCAGCTTCTGCCCTTGGAGTAGTCCTATGAGGCCGGTGGCATTGAGGGACCCTGTCCTCAGTTGCCAGTATTCAAAGCAGGTGTAATTTTGCCGGATTCCCACCACCCCTTGCAAAAACAGGAAGCAGGACAGCAGCAGCCCCACTACCACGTGGAGCTGACTGGCTGCTCCCACTGCCTTTAGAGGAGACATGTGGTCCCCAGTCCCCACAGCCCCCACCGGGGCTGCTGTGGGCCATGGCTGTGTGTGCCTTAAGTGAGTGACCATGAAAAGGGGGCTTCTCAAATATCAAACACCACCTTCCCGGGGATGTTTTAGAATGAAGCTCAAATCTCCAATAAAATAAACACCTGAAGCAAGCATCTGGTCCAAGCCTGGCTCCCAGGTCCCTGCTACAGCACCACCTGCAAGAACACCTGTCAGGAAGGCCTGCCACAGAGGCTCTGCAGGGTGCAGGGATGACCTCAGAAAGCCAAAGGCAGGTCTCTGGTGCCTGTCCTCACAGTACGTAGCCCCGAGGAAGCTCCACAGCATGTTCCACCTCCCAAGGGAGGCAAGAAGGATCGCGGGGTGCACAATGCAGGGACGCTCACACTGTGCGCAAACACTGGCAGAGTCCTCCCTGGGTGCTTCAGCAAACACGTCCACGGCTGCGCATGAGGCCAGGGCCTCAGGACGGAAAGCGGCTCCCCGTCCTGTCCCTCCCAAACCCAGCTCCCCAATGCTCTGCCTTGGAATAGGAAAGCGTCCCGCCATGGTCAATGCAAAGTGTGGCAGCCAGGAAAACTCCCCAGGGGCCAAGGAGACTTGCGCACAATATTCTCCCAAGTTCTCCCAGGACGGAGATGCTGGAGATCCATGACTAAGGGCGGGGATTCCCATTCTCGTCCGTGTGCGCTTCCCTCACCCCATCCCCACCATGTCTGACCGTGGGAACTCTTGCTACAGGGGTTGGCTCAACTCCCAACATTCAGAAGACACTACCACCCCACCTGGCTCCTCCGGGACCCCAGCTCTTTGGGGACAAGCCACATGAATATTCCAGGTGGCTGTCACACTCAAAGGAGAAATGAGCCTGAGAGCCAGCTCCTCCCCTGTGGTACAGTGGGTTGGCATTGCCCAAGATTGCTCATTCTGAGCTTTCCAAGCTCAGCGCCACCCCAGAAAGTGCAGTCTTCTCGCCGAATTTTCCAGCCTATCACCCTAGGCTAGATATCAAGCTCCTGTGAGTCTATCTCTTGAAGGTCTAGCCTGGGCCAACTCCTAAGAAGGTCCCTCCACCAATCACACATGGCAGGTGAGATAAGGGGTTGGACAGGAGTGAGGAAGGAAGTGAGGAAGGTCTCATACCCTTAGCCATGAGACCCTCTGTTTGCACTACATAAACCGTGTTTGCTTACACAGGTGTCTCCATCGTCTGAGCTCTTCCCTTAGGAACCCAGAATCTATTTAGACATAGCACTTAGCCTGGCCCTGTTCTTTTCCCTTCTCTTTCTGGGCCCCCCACCACCATACCCCCCCAAGCATTTATGAGCCCCAAAGTAGTCTAAGAAGTATAATATCAGTGGAATTTCATTTACATCCTATACAATTCCATATTAATAATCATGGAATATAAAGAAACTTGGGTGTTTGGAATCCTGGATTCTAAGCCCTGGTTCTCACCCTTTCCTTCTGAAAGGGACCTTAAACCAAAAGGCACAGGTGAAAAAACACTGCTGTGGAATCAAAGTACGGGAACCCTACGGGACAGAGTGGAACTGCCCCAGGCTGTTTCCAAGGCTGGAATAATTACCCAGGCGGACTGCCTCGTCTTTCTCCTGCAGAGCGCTGGTGGGTTCAAACCACTGACCTTTTGGCTATCAGCCTAGTACTTAACTATTGCCCCACAGGGTTCCTGGAAATGAACCTTCCAGATCATCAAATCCAAAATCCTAATCTTAACGGGGAAAACCACAAGCCCAGAGATGTAAAGAAGCTTGCTCAAGGACACACAGTGGAAAAACCAAGCCCCAAATTCAAGTCTCCAGCTTCAGTACCCAGAACACTCCTCCCCCTGCACCTATTCCGGCAGCCCCGGGCTGGCTCTACTCACATATAGCGCAAGTGGGGGTTCTTGGCAAAGGCTCTGGGCTGGATGCTCCGAAGTCCTGAGTTCTTGATAGTCCTGGACAGAGAGGAGAAGAGGGTGAGCTGAGCCCGTGCAGAGGGACATGTGCTCCCGGCTCAGGCTGACCAGAGGCCAGGCCTTCATCTCCACCCACCCCAGGGGCCCGATTAGCAGGCTCCCAGAGGGAATTTGGAATCACACAGCCTGGGGGCCTGGGTTGGGGTTCAGGATGAGCACTGGCAGGGCTGGGGAGACAGCATGGCATCCTTGGGAACCCTGGCTCAAGAATGTGGCCCAAAGACCACAGGGCTGCCTCCCCCACTAGGGCCTCCCCTCTTCCTTTCTCAGATGCCCTCGGGGCAGCCAATGGCCTGGGGGCCGCAAAGACAGAAGTAAGGCTGTGCTAGGCCACCACCAGCCAAGCACAGGGCTAGGGCACTGGCCTGGGGACCAGAGACCTGAGCGCAGGTTCTGCTTCCAAATGCTGCCCCAGATCCCTTCCTGCAGCGCAGCTGCACACGCCACCCCACCCCATCCCCACCCCGACCGGGCCACACTCACAGCTTCTGGAGGCCAGTGTACAGCTCCATGTCCACGGCGTTGAGGGTGTGCAAGCCGCGCCAGTTCTCGATGTGTCTGCGGGGGGTGGGGAGAGCGCCGGTGAGCGGGGCCACTTCAAAGAGGCTGGCTTCAGAGCCAAAGAGACCTGCATTTGAATCCTGAATCTACCAAATGCACCTTAATGTCACCAGCCATCGCTGAACCTGTTTCCTCTGCCCCGTGCTGGGCCCGATCGGCACATCGGCCTGATTCTCCTACTCCGGAGAACTGAGGGGGCTGGTGGACCCCCCAACCCCCCACCCCCACCTCCTGGCTACCAGTTCTTCATTTTTCCAAGGAGAGGTGGCTTTCCCCTTTCCATCACACAAGATCTCTTTTCAAACTCCCCCCAAGGGGCCCTGTGTTGAAGGGGTATTTTGTCTAGCAAGCCCGCTGTACTTATTAAGTAATAATTAATTCATCTTCTCAGATTTATTAATCAAAGGCATAAATCACTGTTAACCAGAGCTTTTTGTCAACAGACACCCACCAAGCTGAGACTCACCCAGCTGGGAGAGTCTAGCCAAAAGCAAAAACGCAAAGGTCCTGCTAGCACGAGTAACGGGTACGGTTTCCGTCATCCCTCTGATACGGACCCAAACAAACCGCATGGACAAACGGTCTCCATGACTGTTGGGGTGTGGGGGAGTATGTATGGAGGGGTCCTCCAGCTAAGAGCCTTTAGGCAACTGAGTTCCAAGATCTGAAGCCCTGGGAAGCTTACTATTCACCTGACGCTAAACAGCTGCCATCAAATGGATTCGACTCATGGCAACCCAAGTCTTTCATGGGAGGACTGCGCCCCACCGGGGTTTCAGAGAAGAAGATCACCAGGCCTCTCTTCTGCAGTGGGTGGCCTCCAAAATGTAACCTTCTTTCTGTTCGCAGCCAAGATCAGTACCCAGGTGCAGTACCCAGTGGCTTAACTAAGGTGATCAGACGTCCCGCTTTTGGCGGGACAGTCCCGATTTTTAACAATTTTTCCTGCATCTTGCGGTGTTTTAAAAAGGTCCAGATTTTTGGAAAGAATGCGCGACAAGCAAGCTAGGGTGTACGGTTTTCAGCTGCCATGTGGCGATTTCGCCAGGATATGAGTTTTATCAATGGTGTCCCACTTTACCACTGTTAAAATCTGGTCACCTTACTTAACTGTCATCCTAAGGAGCGCCAAAGGGCTTCAGGAAGAGAACCCACCCCCAACCCCTGCCACTCACCAAAAGTCCCACCTAAAGGTGAAGGGTTCAAATCCACCCAGAGGAGCCTCAGAAGACAGACCTGGTGATCTGTGTCCGAAGGCTCGCCGCCTTGGAAAGCCACTGGGCCCATTCCCGTCCACACACACACGTGGGGTGGCCCGGAGTCCCCACTGACTCAACAGCAGCCCAGCCTGCAGACCGAGAACCGATTCTCTGGTACCCCAGGGGCAAAGTACCCACATCACGATGTGTGTGCAGTTAGTGACAGCTCACCCTGGGACAGAGCTACTGACAAGCGCGGGACCCGACAAGTGGCCGCCATCTTCCCCAGACATCTCCTCTCCAGCCCCACCACACCACGGCTCTGCCATCTGCCCCCAGGGGAACCAGAGCCAAGGCAGCAGCAGCTCTGACATGGCCCCAGAGCCACACAGGAACAGGTAAGCAACATGCGTCTTGCGCCCATTCCCTCAGAGCCCCTAATGAGAAACCAGGGACACTGGCCTTGACAAAGAGCACAGACACAGGTGGCCAGGGCATAACAGTCCCAGTGTCTGCCCTGCAAGCCTCTGGCCCCAGGGCTGTTTGGTAGATCTGGTCCCTCCAGGGCAGGGGGCCTGGCTCCGTTTCAGATGAAAAGGAAAGCCAAGAGGAAGAGCACTCCTGAGCCACCAAGCCCCCCGGCCCTGCCCCTAGTGTACCCCTGGACCATCTGCCCATGTAGGTGCCCAAGCCAAGCGGTATTTAGACGAAACATCATTCATTTCAGGCAGCTTGACTTCATACCCGGATCTGTCCTTAACAAATGGCTGTAATTCGATTTTTACCGGGAATACAATCACTTTTCTCGGCACACAATATAGAATGCTACAGATACGTCTTCATTCCAGATCCATTGTCAACCATGCCACTGGGTTCTACAAGTTTAATGCCCTGCTGCCGGCCCACGTGGGCCCTCCCCCATATGAGGACGGACACCAGGAAAGACTGCAGTGGAACGAACAAATGCCTCTGGAAAACCAAACGATGGCCGTGCGTCCTCTGTTAGGGAGCCCGGGTGGTGCCCCGGTGATGCATCTGGCTGCTCGCCTGCACACCAGCCACTCCCCCACGAGAAAGATGTGGGAGTCAACTTCCAAAAAGACGACGTCTTGGAAACCCCATGACGCAGTCCCACTCTGCCCCTACGGGGTCGCTAGGAGTCAGAATCTACCTGAGCGAAGCTGGATGGGGATCTCCCCAAACCCACAGGGTCACGGCGTGGTTAGGAGTCGTGCTTCTAGAAAAGTCGCTGGAACAGGGATCTAGGTCAGGGGACAGCAAAAGAATGCCCCTGCGCCATAGCCAGCCCCCCACCCGTTTTTTGTACCATGGCAGCAGAGTTAAGTACAGTCTTTGTCATTTAACAGAATCACAGATTCGAACTCCATGGCAGGTGAGAGTCCGTCGTTGTTGCTGTGGGTTGCATCCGCTGGTGCCCCCCTCACAGCGTCCCTGGGTAGAACACAGCGGAACTGCCCACAGAGGTTCCCAGGCAACGATCTTCACAGAGGCAGAGAGCCGCGTCTTTCTCCCTCAGAAGTGTAAGGTAGGTTAGAACAACCAGCTTTTCATCCAACAGTAAAGTGGAACTCAAACTGCAGTGGCCCTTCCATCCCTCTGCACATGGCCTAGGACTGTGTCCTCCCGTCAGCTCTAGGTTGGGTAGTGGGAACAGGCTGAGAGGCTGGCAAACCCTAAAACAGTTACTTTCTGGCTGCTGGCAGAGGGAGTTTGCCAACCCCTGTGCCAGAATGAAGGAGGTTACTTTGAAGACTAAGGTGCACCTAACCCCAGCCATGGCCATAGGATAGCAGTGTAGTGGTGATGCATTAGGCAGCTGACTTGCAAGGTCAGCAGTTCTAAACCACCAGTCACTCTTGAAAGAAAGAAAGGGCTCTCTATTACCATAAAGAGTTATGGTTTCAGAAACTCATAGGAGCAGTTCTGCCCTGTCCTATTGACTCAATAGAAATGAGTTTAGTTTTTGTTTTTGTTTGCTTGTTTTTCCATATGGATGTGAAAGTTGGACAATGAATATGGAAGAATTAAAAAGTGATGTGTTTGCATTGTTGATGGGGAAAAATCTTGCCAAAAGAACAAACAGATGTCTTGGAAGATGTATATCCAGAATGCTCCTTAGAGGTAAGGATCGTGAGACTCTTTCTTCTGTACTTAGGACCTGTTGTCAGGAGAGACCAGTCCCTGGAGAAGGATGTTGTGTTTGGTTAAGTAGAGGGGCTGCAAAAAGAGGAAGGCCCTGTGGTACTTATATAATCTGTGTCAATTTGAGAGGATTCAGAGTGAAAGGGTGGAGGTTAGCCTGTCAAATCAGATTGCAGCTTGATGACCTCACTGGGAGGCGCTAAGGAGATAAATAGCTCGTTTGGAGATGTGACACATGCTGACCCCCTTGGAGACCCTCTACTGACAAGGCTCAGTCCCTGTTTGACATTCTTGTTGACAAGCCACATGGAGACAAGCTCAGGGTATCCAGAGCCTTGCAGCTGGAGAAGCCACGTGGAGACTCCCGCCAAGCACGAGTAACGGGTACGGTTTCCGTCATCCCTCTGATACGGACCCAAACAAACCGCATGGACAAACGGTCTCCATGACTGTTGGGGTGTGGGGGAGTATGTATGGAGGGGTCCTCCAGCTAAGAGCCTTTAGGCAACTGAGTTCCAAGATCTGAAGCCCTGGGAAGCTTACTATTCACCTGACGCTAAACAGCTGCCATCAAATGGATTCGACTCATGGCAACCCAAGTCTTTCATGGGAGGACTGCGCCCCACCGGGGTTTCAGAGAAGAAGATCACCAGGCCTCTCTTCTGCAGTGGGTGGCCTCCAAAATGTAACCTTCTTTCTGTTCGCAGCCAAGATCAGTACCCAGGTGCAGTACCCAGTGGCTTAACTAAGGTGATCAGACGTCCCGCTTTTGGCGGGACAGTCCCGATTTTTAACAATTTTTCCTGCATCTTGCGGTGTTTTAAAAAGGTCCAGATTTTTGGAAAGAATGCGCGACAAGCAAGCTAGGGTGTACGGTTTTCAGCTGCCATGTGGCGATTTCGCCAGGATATGAGTTTTATCAATGGTGTCCCACTTTACCACTGTTAAAATCTGGTCACCTTACTTAACTGTCATCCTAAGGAGCGCCAAAGGGCTTCAGGAAGAGAACCCACCCCCAACCCCTGCCACTCACCAAAAGTCCCACCTAAAGGTGAAGGGTTCAAATCCACCCAGAGGAGCCTCAGAAGACAGACCTGGTGATCTGTGTCCGAAGGCTCGCCGCCTTGGAAAGCCACTGGGCCCATTCCCGTCCACACACACACGTGGGGTGGCCCGGAGTCCCCACTGACTCAACAGCAGCCCAGCCTGCAGACCGAGAACCGATTCTCTGGTACCCCAGGGGCAAAGTACCCACATCACGATGTGTGTGCAGTTAGTGACAGCTCACCCTGGGACAGAGCTACTGACAAGCGCGGGACCCGACAAGTGGCCGCCATCTTCCCCAGACATCTCCTCTCCAGCCCCACCACACCACGGCTCTGCCATCTGCCCCCAGGGGAACCAGAGCCAAGGCAGCAGCTGCTCTGACATGGCCCCAGAGCCACACAGGAACAGGTAAGCAACATGCGTCTTGTGCCCATTCCCTCAGAGCCCCTAATGAGAAACCAGGGACACTGGCCTTGACAAAGAGCACAGACACAGGTGGCCAGGGCATAACAGTCCCAGTGTCTGCCCTGCAAGCCTCTGGCCCCAGGGCTGTTTGGTAGATCTGGTCCCTCCAGGGCAGGGGGCCTGGCTCCGTTTCAGATGAAAAGGAAAGCCAAGAGGAAGAGCACTCCTGAGCCACCAAGCCCCCCGGCCCTGCCCCTAGTGTACCCCTGGACCATCTGCCCATGTAGGTGCCCAAGCCAAGCGGTATTTAGACGAAACATCATTCATTTCAGGCAGCTTGACTTCATACCCGGATCTGTCCTTAACAAATGGCTGTAATTCGATTTTTACCGGGAATACAATCACTTTTCTCGGCACACAATATAGAATGCTACAGATACGTCTTCATTCCAGATCCATTGTCAACCATGCCACTGGGTTCTACAAGTTTAATGCCCTGCTGCCGGCCCACGTGGGCCCTCCCCCATATGAGGACGGACACCAGGAAAGACTGCAGTGGAACGAACAAATGCCTCTGGAAAACCAAACGATGGCCGTGCGTCCTCTGTTAGGGAGCCCGGGTGGTGCCCCGGTGATGCATCTGGCTGCTCGCCTGCACACCAGCCACTCCCCCACGAGAAAGATGTGGGAGTCAACTTCCAAAAAGACGACGTCTTGGAAACCCCATGACGCAGTCCCACTCTGCCCCTACGGGGTCGCTAGGAGTCAGAATCTACCTTGAGCGAAGCTGGATGGGGATCTCCCCAAACCCACAGGGTCACGGCGTGGTTAGGAGTCGTGCTTCTAGAAAAGGCGCCGGAACAGGGATCTAGGTCAGGGGACAGCAAAAGAATGCCCCTGCGCCACAGCCAGCCCCCCACCCGTTTTTTGTACCATGGCGGCAGAGTTAAGTACAGTCTTTGTCATTTAACAGAATCACAGATTCGAACTCCATGGCAGGTGAGAGTCCGTCGTTGTTGCTGTGG